ACACACACACACACACACACACACACACACACACACACACACACACACACACACACACCATCTGTTGGGGGTGGAAGAGCCTTACTGTGTGATTTTTCCCTCACCTCTAACTCCATAGAGATGGTCTTATTTCATTTGTGAATGGGATAAGTCAACCATAGGTATATAATACTTATAAAGCTCCCTCTGATCCAAAATATTTACCCCTCTTCCCTTCCCCATCCCTCCCTTACATAAACTAATAATTAGAGAGTAATCTGGTTTGCCAAATTTCATTCTTAAAATACAAAATTTCTCTGTGAGGTTTACAGTCATATCAGGCTATATACTTCTTAAATACTATTTCTGTGCCTTTATAGTTTTTACAGACCTTTTTTTTTACATCTATTCTCTTATTTGATCCTCAAGGACTCTGTAAGGTAGATTATCATTCCAATTTTACTGATAAGAAAATTGAGACTCAGCAATTAAGTGACTTGTCCAAGGTCAATAGCTAGTAAATTGATGATCCTGGATCAGTATCTAGGATTGTGTGCTATTGTCCTTGTTGGGAATGACTTAAATCAGTTACTTAACATAAGAGATACTTAAATATTTATTAAATTATTGAACTAATGTACCTGAGAGCATTCTTATTAAAGGAATGACTAGGAGCGGTAGGTGGTTGTGGTGGTAGTGATGATCTTGGATAGGATAACTATAAATATAAGAGGAGTGAGAAGGAGAATTGCAGAGACTAAAATAGCTTCACCAAGCTGTTTTGCTAATTCTGAGACTTACGCTGAAGGTCATCTTGCTTCCTCACAGCCTTGTCTCCTTTATCAGTGACTGCCTTCTTCAGGTACATTATAAGCAGCTCTGAGTGCCAAAATTTCCTCTTGTTCTAGTTTATTGGAATTTATTATATGTATCCTCAGTTTCTTGGGGATTCTGGAGCTTCCTTCTTGAACTCCAAAGATGACCCAAGACCCCCTGAAGAGACTGTTCACAATTGAATACACTTATTTACCTCTTTTATTTTTTAGAGGAGGGAGAATTACCAAACAAAGATGTCTCCATCATCACTTCAGGGAACACTCAAAAAGAGATCAGCTTTTGAAGATCTTACCAATGTGAGTATGCCAATCTAGTCTTCTGCTGTGGTTTTGCATAAGGCTTAGACAACCTCTTCCTTGAGGGATCTGTCCTGTTCACCAGACTCTGACCTTCTCTGGAATGTTGAGAGAAAATTTCATTTAGAGTTAATGACCCAGTTTTAGAAACTGCAGGGGTTCTTCTACTGGCGCATCTGAGTCAGTTGGTGGAACTCTCTGGAAGCAGCAGAGAGAGTGATTATCAGATATGAAATTGTAGTTAACCATGAGAACTATGGCATATTGTATTAGATAAAGTCCAGAGGTGGCTCAGCTGGCTGCTTAGGCCTTGGAGGTAATTTGGTGGAATCATTGTTAGTCTAGGCCAGTGTTTATCAGTTTGAGCAATGTGAACGTTTGGGGAAGGACACTTTTTCTGTTGTATAGGACTGACCTCACTCAACATCTCTGGCCCCAGGCATTAAATTCCAGCAGCACCCCAGGCACAGTGACAATCAAAAATGTCCCCTAAAGTAAAGAACCATTGAGAAACAGAGTTTCATAATCTAGTCTTCAACTATGAAGATCCAGAAACTCAATTTTCACATAGACTTCTCAAGTTCACTTCCAAGTCGTCTCCCTTCTGGTATTACTAAAGTACCAGCAAAAATCAGAATCATCCCTGAGGAACTGAATCACTGAGCTGAGGGCTGTGGGGACCATGGTCTCGGGGAATATCTAACTCAATTGGCATAACATAGTTTATAAAGAAAATGTTCTATGTTCTACTTTGATGAGTAGCGTCTGGGATCTTAAAAGCCTGTGAGCAGCCATCTAAAATACTCCACTGGTCTCACCCCTTCAGGAGCAAGGGAGAATGAAGAAAACTAAAGACACAAGGGAAAGATCAGTCCAAAGGACTAATGGACCACAACTACCATGGCCTCCACCAGACTGAGTCCAGAACAACTAGATAGTGCCTGCTACCACCACTTACTGCTCTGACAGGGATCACAACAGAGGGTCCTGGACAGAGCTGGAAAATAATGTAGAACAAAATTCTAACTCACAAAAAAAGACCAGACTTACTGGCCTGACAGAGACTGGAGAACCCCCAAGAGTATGGCCCCCAGACACCCTTTTAGCTCAGTACTGAAGTCACTTCTGAGGTTCACCCTTCAACCAAAGATTAGACAGGCCCATAAAATAAAATGAGACTAAAGGGGCACACCAGCCCAGGGGCAAGGCCTAGAAGGCAGGAGGGGACAGGAAAGGTGGTAATAGGGAACCCAAGGTCGAGAAGGGAGAGTGTTGATGTGTCATGGGGTTGTTAACCAATGTCATAAAATGATATGTGTACTAACTGTTTAATGAGAAACTAGTTTGTTCTGTAAACCTTCATCCAAAGTAAAAAAAAAAAAAAAAATCAGAATCAATTGTTAGAACATTGCTAATTGAATATGGAATCAGGCCAAAGGTAATCTTTGGTCTTAGAAAATAATAAGTAAAACTTTCTGAGTACTTACCATGTGCTAGACACAATTCTAAGCACTTTTACCTGCATTAACGTACATAATCCACATATAACTTATGAGGTAGATACTGTGATTATCTCTACTTTACAAATAAGGAACTTGCCCAATGTTGATTTTGAAGTCTGTTTCATCTGAGCTACAGAGAAGCCTGGTAAACTGTGTGCCCTCCACAATAGAAGGTACTTATGTGGCTACCAGAATATTTTTATCTACTAGATAATGTTTTACCACCTTGGACAGTACTAGGTAACTATTGGCAAATTTCTCTGCTTTGGATCCCTGCTCTATGGGTGCTATGTGACCACTTTTCTGCTAATGCAGTTTCTTCCCCATGAAGATTACAACATATGTGGTTAAGTTATAGAAGGGATAACAGGCACCAAGCAAGTCAGTAGAACACATTACATTAGCCCTCAAGGCTTTGAAAATAATCTTCTGTTCTCTGAGACAATTTACACAATGGTCCTGCCCTCCAGACTCTAGGTATTGGTCACAGTCTCTGGATTCTGAGTGGAGGCCCATTGGCCCTGGGCTTCAGCTCTGCCTTCCAGGACCCCTGGGATGGCAACTCTGCTCCCTCGGCTTTAGGGGCACCATTCTCCTAGTCCATTGGAGTGACAATTCCACCCTTAGAAACACCAGAGGCCATGGCTCCACCCTTTGAAACCCCTGAGGTCACGGCCATACGTTTTGAGACTGAGGCAGCTCGGCTTCTTGTGTTCCTTGTCTCTTCAGCTTCTGCTTCCTGTGGTGTCTTGGCTCTTGGGCCTCACGCCTGCATCTGCCCTGCTGGGGCAAGTGTTCCAAAGCTTGGTAGCTCCACCAATAAGTGACCGGAGGCACCCCACTCTATCAGGAAGCCTCCTGCGCACAGGCAGTCACCTCTCTCGCTCTGTGGGTTGGCTCCAGCACCGTCTCGCACTGGTGTCCTGGTTCTGCCGCTGCAGGTTCTCTGCCACTGCCACTTCTCTTCTGCTGCTGGTCCTCTGCCACTGCTGCTCTTTTATCAATTCACAGTTTCAAAACTGCTTCTACATTTTAGGTATCTGTTAGAGCAGCATCCCACTGTCTTGGTACCAAATATCTTAGGCTGGGTTCTCTAGAAAAGCAAAACTAGTAAAGCGTATAAATATATACAGAGAGAGATTTATATCAAGGAAACAGCTCACGCAACTGTGGAGGCTAAAATGTCCCAAGTCCGTGGATCTGGGTAGAGGCCTCTTCCAATTCACGGATCCGTATAAGCTGGTGAACCCAAAGTCGGCAGGTGGGAGAGGGGCTCCCGCTCACAGGCTGTGAAGGTCAGCGAATTCCAAGATCAGCAGATAAGACCGCAAGGTTTCTCCTGATTCACGTAGCTGCAGGGGCTGGCGAACCCAAGATCAGCAGGTCAGGGAACTGGACTCTTGCTCGCAGGCTGAGAAGATCTTCAAATTCCAAGATCAACAGGTAAGCTGCTAGCTCAAGTCCCAAGAACCAGAGATGAGACAACAAGAGGCAGCTGCTGAGTCTGGAACAAGCCAAAAACCTTGGCAAGGTGAGCAGGCAGAAAGTTAACAGATGGAAGGCAGAGAGATGAAACTGAGGGGGTGGTGAGCTGCCACAGACCCCGCCTCCACCAGTACCACTCAGCAGATTCCATCATGGGGGTGATCACATATCAGATTTCAACAGGGAAGTGATCACAACGTTATACAATTGCTAAAACACTGAGAATAATGGCCTAGCCAAGTTGGCGTACAATCTTAACTATCACAATCCTCATCTAGGGTAAGGGTGGGGTAAGTAAGGCATCCCTGAGCAGTGTGTATGCCTCTAGTTTTCCAGCAGCTCAGAAAGCCCATTTTCCTTTTGCATTCCAGTTCTGAAGATTCACTTTGGTCATCTTGAATGGTCATTGATGCTTTCCAGAGAAAGCTCCATCAATACAATGTACCTAAGTTATTCCTAGGGCTGGGCATTTCTGCAGATGTCTGAGCTCATTTCTTTGAGGGTTGAGGGCTCCTTTCTCTCTGAATTTTGAGGATTCCCTATATGATGATTTGCTTCTTCCAGTCAGTATTACTAGGTCTCCATGTCCCCATATCTGTCATCTCAGTATTCACCACAGTGAGGTCCTGGATTGCCAAAAAGATTTGATCTGTTTTAATTAGTTTATCTGTAAGGTTTTCTTTCCCTTTTCCTTCTACATTATCATTTTACGAGGGGAAGAACTTTTCATATTTAAGAGCCGGTAGATAAAGAGATAGGGCCTATATCCATGTTTACCTAAATGGTTTTATGTCAATAGGATTTTCAACCCTTGTTTTTTTATTTCTTGGTGAAAGAATTATGGGAAATACAGGTAGAGGTCCCCTTGAGCTTAGATCTGATAATATCAGTGCTTTGAACCTTCACACGTGGCAATGGAGAGTTTTACGTTAGGGGTTAGGGTCTCCACTTTTCTGCTACCAAGAATGCACCTCTTTTCCTATTCTGAATCTCAGTTCCACATATAGAGAGTTTGTAAAACTTTAGGTGAAGTTAAAATGAAAACTGTGCCAAGTTCTTTGAAGAGTAGAGGTGGATGACTTTAGTTCCTAAGAAAGATTTCCCTATTGGATTGTAGTTGCTCATTATTGTTTGATGACAGCAAGACATATATATTTTTTACATTTCATTTAGAAATAACTTCAAATTTACAAAAAGCTGCAAAAATGAAAAATCGTACGAAAAGCATTTATATATCCTTTACCTGGATTCACCTATTGTTAACATTTTATCCCATTTGCTTTATCATTTGCTTATACATCATGACCCTTTACCTCTAAATATTTCAGTGTGTTTCCTAAGAATAGGGAAATTGTCTTATATAACCACAGTACAGTTATCAACTTTATAAGTTTATACTGATACAATAATTTTATATAGTCTACTCTCTATATTCCAATTTGTCAGTTGACTTTAAAATATCCTTTATAGTATTTTTACTCTCCAGTAAAGGTTCCAGTCTAGGATCAGGTATTGCATTTAGTTGGCTTGTCTCTTTAACCTCTTTTAATCGGGAACATTTCCATAACCTTTCTTTGTTTTTATGACATTACCGTGTTTGAAGAATACAGTCTTACCTACCTACCACCCTTTTAAAATAAAACATTCCTTATTTTGTGTTTGTCTGATGTTTCCTTGTGATTAGATTGATGTTATACATTCTTGACTGGAATAATGTTAGATGATGTTCTGCCCTTCTCAGGGTGTCACATCCGGAGGCACGTGATGTCCATCTGTCCCTCATTGGCGATGTTAATTTGATCACCCAGTCAAGACGTTGCCTGTTTTCTCCACTTAAAAGATTTTTTTTTCTCTTGCAACTAATAAACAGTCTATGGGACACACTGTAAGGACCTGCAGATACTTGCTGCTGATCAAAGTATCCCCAGATTTAGTATCCATTGATGATTTTTGCCTGAACCAATCTTTATGATGATTTTTTCAGCTTCAGTACTCACTCCACATTTACCAGTCTGCCCTTAATATTCTACTGTAAGCATGAGCCTCCCCTTCTCCCCTGTTTATTTTTTTATAAATAATATGGACCCATGAATTCATCTTTTTTCAGTGGTTTATTATTTATTATTGTGCTTAATTATTTTGGTGCTCAAACTGTTCCAGATTTGGTCAATAGGAGCCTCTTCAGTTGGACTACTGTGTCCTTGTGACCTGATCTCATAATTTTTTGAGCATTTCCTTTTCAGCATACCAAGATGTTCCAGACTCATCTTGCACCTATTCTTTCCTAGCCCTGAAGTCAACCATTTGTCCAAGGAGTTCTGGTTCCCTTTTAGTAGGGAATTGTATTAGAGACCAAGATCTGAGTGCTTAGGTGTGCTCATTGCTACTAGGATGACTTTGCTTTTTTATAATTTCAGAAGACAGGGCTAGGAAATATCTGCATGTATATATATATACATGCTGAGGCATTGGTGTTTCAGTGGTAGAATTCTCAGCTTCCATCAGGGAGACCTCGGTTAGATTCCCGGCCAATGCACCTCATGTGCAGCCACCACCTATCTTTCAGTGGAGGCTTGCATGTTGCTGTGATGCTGAACAGGTTTCAGCAGAGCTTCTAGACTATGACAGACTAGGAAGAAAGGCCTGGCAATCTACTTCCAAAAATCAGCTAATGAAAACCTCATAGATAACAACAGTCTGATCCCCAAATGATCGTGGGGATGGTGCAGGACTGGACAGCGTTTCATTCCATCGTGCATGGGGTTGCCATGAGTCAGGGGCTGATTTGGCAGCTAACAACAACATATATGTACACATGTGTGTACTTAAACATGCATATGCACGTGCATATGCCTGTTTAAGAAATCATAAGTTTGCACAACTCCAATTCCAATACATAGAGTTCTTTCTTGCATTTCCTAATCCATATTTGTAAGTTCCTTCTTCCACAGTGACAACCCTGGTTCCCAAGAACATCAGCACATTTACTCAGTACTATAATACACCTAAAGTAGTTTGAAAATTACTTTGCTGATACCATATAATAAACAAACCTACTGAAGAGAGTTCAAGATTTTATTTGCAGTATCCCCTTACTCCCACCACTACACACAGAGACACACGCCATGACTGAGGATATATATAGCTTGAGGGTATATAGTCAGATACTGTGTTTATAAGTTAGTTGGATTACTCAGTCTGTCCATCCTTCCTTCCTTTCTTTCCTTTAGTATGGTTATGGTATTTATTTGAAATATTATTAGGTTCATTGGTTTCATTTTAAAGGTAAAATTTTTAAATTTATTTTTTTCTGACATTATTCATAGTCCCATGATCTCTCCTACTGTTTAATAGAATTAGTCGTGAGTATAGTATTTGGGGAACTCCCCAGAGTACCATGTTAAATAAATACTGCAGTATAACCGATCCTCAATGAGATGAGATAGATGTATCACAGATAGCATTGTTGTATTATAGGTCTACCTTGAAAAGGTAGTTGAGCTTGGCATATCCAGACAACAAAGCCAGTTATATTGCCCTCCCCTGACCCGACCCCTTACTCAAGCATCTTCATGGGGTCAAAGTGGAATGTGATGTTAACAAAACATCTTTTCAATTATTTGCCAGCCTGTATGTCTGTCATGGAGGTCAAAACTAAATAGTATATCCATTGGGAGCACTTAGAGCTGCTATTTAGCCAATATGTACCAGTTCTACTATTCTGGTTATTTGCTACTAGCTTTCATTGTGATTGTTTGGCACCAGTGTCATGCTGGCTGAAAAGTGTTTTGATTATCATTCCTGGGAACACCCAACCAAGCTGTCCAGAGTAGGAACGTGGGTTAAGATTTTCTTATATGAGCTACCTATTGGGTAATTTGTGGTTCTCTTTATTTTCCTGCCTCCTCCTTCTCTTTTTTGCAGGCTTCTCAAAGTCAACCTGCCCAGCCCAAGAAGGAGGCCAATAAGGAGTTTGTTAATGGTGTTTCTAAGAAAAAAAACAGGAGCACACCTGCTCCTGAGTTGGCCAAAAACAATGAGTTGAATATAAAAAGGTGAGTAAGAGGGGTCTTAGGATGGCATTGTTTTAGATGGTAAAGGAGAGAGTGTGTCATCTTATTTACCTCCTTTTGTCCCCATTGGGAACATGTTTAGTGAGTCACAGTGGTAACTACCACGTTAACTCTGGGTGCTGAGGCCCTGGTGCTTGGGTGGGCCCAACTGTGGTTGCTGAAGAGTTACAGGCCTCTTCTCTCTCTCTTCTTCCATAGTGTGTGTGCGTATTGAAAGACCTGTTGTCGTTAGGGAATTTGCCAAAAGACCTTGTGCTCATCTCTTTCTCCATTTTAGTAATTCATTCCCTGTCTGAACTAGTCTGTGCTTGGAGGTGTTGGGGCAACTTAACTTTTCAGGGGACTCTCAGCAGCTGGCTGCTATCTTGCCAGTCTGCTTATCCCCTTAAAAGTTAGAAGGGAGGTTTGTCCCTTGTTACTGGAAAGAAACTACTTTCTCCTTAGGCCAAAAACATGTTTCTTCCAGCTGTTAAAGGGAGCTGTTTACGTATTTTACAAGTAGATATGAACATTCCCATCTATGAGAGGAAAAAGCATTTAGCCATAGAACATCTTTTATTGGAAGATGAGTTAGAAAATAGAGTGAGAACTTTCTGTGTCCTCTCCTTATTTCAGTAGGAATTACTTCTTCAGGGACTGACCATTCTGCATTTGAATAGATTAGATAGCCATAGCCAGGCTAAGCAGGACTTCCAAATGGTAACGTAAAGAGGTTGGGGAGCTCCAGAAAATTAGTGTTAGGTCTGCAGGATGCTTTGCTAATTACCCAACAGAAAGAAATCAAACCAGATAGTATTTAGCCCTACTTGTTTTTCTATTGAAATGGAATTCCTGGGATTTACCTGTATATTTTGACCTTAATTCCCTGCACTGTTTTCTTTTTAATATCTTCAATCTTTCTGATTTTAGCAGGAAAACCTTCATAAAATGCCAAAACCTTTCTTCCCTTCATTCAGGATTTACTGGAGTCTGCGCTAATAATAGGACTGGAATTAGTAATAGCTAACATTTATTGAGAGGTCACTATAATCTTACATCACTCTAAGTGGCTTTTTTGTTAACAGCTTTATTGAGATATAATTCACATACCATACAATTCATTCATTTAAATCATACAGTTCAGTGGCTTTTAATGTATTCACAGAGTTGTGCAACCATCACCACAATCAATTTTAGAACATTTTTATCACCCCTCACCAAAAAAAAAGAAAAACCTCAGTCCTCTCATTACCCCAGCCCTAGATAACCGCTAATCTATTTACTGTCTCCGTAGATTTGCCTATTCTGGACGTTTCGTATAAATGGAATTGTATAATAGTGTGGTCGTTTGTGACTGGCTTCTTTCACACATGGGGTTGCCATGAGTCGTATGGATTCAATGGCAACTTTTTTTTTCTTTTCACTCAGCATAATGTTTTCAAGGCTTATCTATGTTGTAGCATCTATCAGTACTTCGTTCTCTTTTATTGCTGAATAATATTCCGTTGTATGGATATACCACGTCTCGTTTATCCATTCATCAGTTGATGGACATTTGACTCGTGTCTACGTTTAACTACTGTGAATAGTGCTGCTATGGACATCTGTGTACAAGTTTTTGTTTGAACACTTGTTTTTAATTCTTTTGGGTATATACCTAGGAGGGGAATTGCTGGGTTATATGGTAATTCTATGTTGAACTTATTGGGGAATTGTCAAGTTGTTTTCCACAGTGGTTGCACCATTTTACATTCTCACCAGCAAAGTATGAAGGTTCCAATCTCTCCACCTTTCTGCCAACACTTGCTGTTTTCTGTTTTTAAAATTATGGTTATTCTAGTAGGTGTGAAGTAGCATCTCATTGTGTTTTTTTCTCATTTCATCTTTTTATTTTTCTACTTTTAATGTACATAGTAGATTAGTAAAGTAGTAAGTAAGCTCATCATTTTTAAATAAAGACTGTGATGGTTAAGGTTGTGTGTTAACTTGGCTGGGCCATGATTCTCAGTGGTTTGGCAGTTATGTAATGATATAGTTTGGCAGTTATGTAATGATAGAATAATCCTCCATTTTGTGATCTGATGTAGTTCATCCCCCATTTTATGATCTGATGTGAGCCGCCAATCAATTGAAGAGGGAATTTCCTTGGGAATATGGCCTGCATCCAGTACATATGGATGTTCTGGCAAAGCTCACATGCTGTGGATTCTGCATCCAACTCGTCATCCTCTGACCTATGGTTCTTGGGATGTGAGCCAGCAGCCTTCTGCCTGACCTGCAGATCTTGGGATTTGCCAGCTCCTGCAACCCCATGAGCCCGCAGCCTTCTGACTGACCTGCCGATTTTGGGTTCGTCAGCCCCTGTAACCATGTGAGTCAGGAGAAGCCTCCAGCCTGATGCCTGACCCACGGATTTGGGGCTTGCCAGCCTCCACAACTGTGTGAGCCATTTCCTTGACATAAATCTCTAAATATATTTATATATATATATACACACTTCACTGGTTTTTGCTCTTCTAGAGAACCCAGCTTAAAACAAAGACATACACCCACTCCTCACTTGTTGACATGGTTAGGTGCCAAAGACCAGGTTATTATGTGAAAATCAGCATTATGCAGAAATGGGAGATTTTTTTTTCCTGTTTTCAGACCATCCATTTGTCTAATTTTTTTTTTATTTAGAAAACATGATCATAGAAATAATAAAAGCTAAGATTTACTGGGGACCCTGGTGGTGCAGTGGTTAAGAGCTTGGCTGTTAACCAAAAGGTGGAGATTCAAATCCACCATCCTCTCCTTGGAAACCCTATGGGGTAGTTCTACTCTGTCGTATAGGGTTGCTGTGAGTCAGAACCGACTTGATGACAGCGGGTTTGGTTTTTGAGATTTACTGATATAGTCATCATTGTGACGAGTCCAGTTATAGATTATTCCTCTGAGGAGAAGGAGGCTTGGAGGAGACAAAGGTGGATAAAGCTGGGCTGTGTGACTGCAGGGTCCACGGCTTAACCACTTCACCTTCCTCCTGTGCTGAGTCAGAGCTTCCCTTGTGGAGCTACCTCCAAGGCTCCACCCTCACCCCTGCAAGCCCTGTGTTCACCATTCTGGAGCCTACTCTGCCCCCCTGGGCCTGATGAGTCACCGGGGCTCAGGTCTTCCTGCGAGGGCATTGGGAGCCTGGCCGTGCACCTAGCCCCACCGAGGCGGCGGAGGCTTCGGGCCCAGTTCGGCTCACTTTGAGATGTCATTAAACTTGTACGGTTTCTTCTAAACACCCTGTAGGATGCCTTTTTCTTTCATCGCTTCCCACCCCACAGCAATTTTGAGGTGGAGGGCCTCAGGCTGCATAAGAGCTAGGAACCTAGAACAGGTGTCTGCTGGCTTGGTGCTGCCTGTGCCTTTGTCTGTAGGCCATGGCCATGGACGAGGCCAGCCCTGCTCAGCAGCTGGACACAGTGCCCCTACCAGTAGGAGGGATTGGAGGGCATGGGGCAGTGCGGCCCAGCTTCCCAGAGGCCACCTGGAGACCATCTTCGAAGGATCTCAGGGAGGGAATGCTCTGCAGCTATTGCCGCCATGCCCGCCACCTCGTTAATGTGCAAAATAGTGAGACAGTAGATTTTTTTTTTACTATTGTTGTAAATGTTAAGTGTAAAATAATGAGATAGTCAATAAGTAAGGAGTAGGTGTATATATATTAGGAATGAATGTTCAAAAAAATCTAGATTACTACTTTAGGCATCAGGAAGCGGTTTAAAGATTTTAAGACAGAGGAGCAATATAATCAGATTTGAATTTTAGAAACATAATCCTGGGGATAGTAGCCAGTGAGAATTGATAGTAGGTTATATTGATAGGAGCCCTGGTGGCACAATGGTTAAGTGCTCGGCTGCTAACTGAAAGGTGGGCGGCTGGAACCCACCAGTGGCTCTGCAGGAGCAAAAACCTGAAAATCTGCTCCCAGAAAGACCGCAGCCCAGGAAACCCCATGGGGCAGTTCTACTCCATACTGTAGGATCACTATGAGTCAGAATAGACTCAACAGCACACAACAACAGGTTAAATTAATAAAAAAATAAAAATAAAAACATAATAATCCCTGTTACTATGCTAAAAGCAGAGCGCATCCCATAAACTACCATTATCTTTGGGTCCTCTTGAAAGGCTGCTGTTGTTGTCAGGTGCGGTTGACTCAGTTCCAACTTATTGCGACCCTACGTACAACAGAACTAAATGCTGCCCAGTCCTGCCCCATCCTCACAGATGTTGTTATGTTTGACCCATTGTTGCAGACACTGCATCAGTCCATCTTGTTGAGGATCTTCCTCTTTTTTGTCACCCTCTATTTTACCAAGCATGGATGTCCTTCTCCAGAGACTGGTCTTCCTAATAATGTCCAAAGTAAGTCAGATGAAGTCTTGCCACCCTTGCTTCTAGGGAGCATTCTGGCTGTACTTCTTCCAAGACAGGTTTGTTCGTTCTTTTGGCAGTTGTCTTAGTCATCTAGTGCTGCTATAACAGAAATACCACAAGTGGATGGTTTTAACGAAGAGAAGTTTATTTCTTCACAGTCAAAGTATGCTAAAAGTCCAAATTCAGGGCGTCAGCTCCAGGGGAAGGCTTTTTCTCTCTGTCGGCCTTCTTCTCTTCGGTTTTCCCCCGGACTAGGAGCTTCTCTGCGGAGGGACCCCGGTCCAAAGGACACGCTCTGCTCCCAGCACTGCTTTCTTGATGGTATGAGGTCCCCACTCTCAACTTGCTTCCCTTTCCTTTTATCTCTTACAAGAGATAAAAAGTGGTACAGGCCACACCCCAGGGAAACTCCCTTTACATTGGATCAGGGATGTGACCTGGGTTAGGGTGGTGTTACAATCCCACCGTAATCCTCTTTAATGTAAAATTACAATCACAAAATGGAGGACAACCACACAACACTGGGAATCATGGCCTAGCCAAATTGATACACATATTTTTTTGGGGACACGATTCAATCCATGACAGCA